TGACATGTTAAATGCTGGTTGCTCAAAAGATATAAAACCACGTCAAGATATTTCATATTCAAGCAGTAATGATGAACACAGTGCATCTACAGAGTCAACTGTAGTTCTATCGCCTGAAGATTTAAGACCATTCAAAAAAGCTGAACCAAGAAAAAGAGTTAGGGCTAATAAAAGAAGTAGAACCACATCAATTTTAACAGATTCACCAAATATGAATGTTTTAAAAATAGAGAAAGAATCAGCTAAAAAGAAAAAGTTAGCAATTGAAGAGAGAAAACAAGCAAAAAAGTTAAACGAAGATAGTATTAAGATGAGTAAAAGATCAAATAGTAAAGGAAGTTTACACTTAATGGAGAAAAGTTTGAATTGTCCAAATAGCTCTGTTGTAGAGGAGTGTTTTTGTTTGGTTTGTGTTGGAATGTTTTCTAAAAGTAAAGCAGGGGAAGTTTGGGTTCAATGCACCCAATGTCACCTTTGGGCTCACGAGTCATGTATAATCGGAAAATCTTTGTTTTTCATTTGCAATAATTGCTGCTAGCCGATTTGAAACTCCATTAGTTAAAAATATTCATGTAATAAAACAATATAAGTTTTAATTCTTATTGTATAACCGTAAATTGGGAACACTGTTTTGTTTTGTCACTGTATTTTTTAATTATATTTACTTTCTATTGCTTAAAATGTTACAATGACTTGATCCAAAAGTTTGATGATATTGATAAAAGTATATTTCTGCTATGATTCCTTTAAAAAAAAGGGGCTCGGGGTAAAAATATTATTGAAATACACTTAAATAGGACCTTTAACTTTAGCTTTTATTATTGCGAGTCAACTTACCCCTTGAGTATAAGCAACTTACCCCATGGTGGGGTAAGTTGGCGCAATTTTTTTTTTTTTTTTGAGGGCCCAGAAAGGCCCCACAATATTTTTTTTGTAAATGAATACAACTTTTATAAGTTACCCAAATTCATACTCTTTGAAACTACACTTTTATGTTTTCAAAAAAATGTTTCGTTAGGACTACAGAACTCATAGAGTAAAAACCGAGTCAACTAGCCCCGGTCTCCCCTACTTTATTTGTACAGTAATTGTTGTAACAGTTTAAAATATTTGTTATTATAAATAAAAATAAAAATGAAACCATAATTTAGCTTAAGAGTAGCAACGAATACAAATTCTGTAATTAAAAAGCCTAGAAATAAATCTGAAGCAGCTGTTAAGCAATTTAACCGAGATGAAAAAAAAAGCTGTAGAGTGGTACAAAACTAATGGAAAACAAGGATATTCTGCGATATCAACAGGTCAGTTTCCATTAATAAAAAGCAAAATTGTGATTGAAAACCGATTGGATAAATTAGTTCTTACAGGAAATGAAATAAACCATGTAATGATACTAACCACTGAAGGAAAAAAGTTTATTTCTTTGACTGCAAATGCAAGAAAAGATCTTTTGAAGAAAAGGTAAAAATTGTAAGTTTCTGGTCACAGTCTCGCTTCCATTATACCTTACTTCGATTTCTTAGAGAGAAAGAAATACATTTATATATATATCACCTTCAGACATTACTGGGGTAACGCAACTTCTCAATCGAATCAACAAAACGCTTCATGAGCATTATGCAAATGCCAAAAAAAATTTTGGTTTAGTCAAAATCAAACAATTATTAGAGAGACTTTTATGTTATCTCTTGCAAGTATGTGGGAGAAATGAGCCACACCAGAGTCAATGCGAAAAGCAGGAAAAAAAGTTGATATTAGTAATGGAAGCTTAAACGTTGCATTTATGCAAATAGATAAACTACAACAAGCTACAATGTTAGTAGAGGAAGAAACAACTCTATAAAAAAAACACCTCAGCAACATACAAGAGTGTGATTATCAGCTGCTTCACTGAAATGGCAAAATACGTTCTCCGATATCTATGAAACGAAAAAATAGCCAAATATAATGGAAAAAGAAAGCTTCAAGCTGGAAAGAAAAATGTTTGTCACTACAGACAATGATTACAGACTTACATGAAAAAAGCATCAACCTTAATGAAATATCAAGTCTATTGACAATCCAAAAAAAATAATGATATGTAAAAAGTAATGATATGTAAAAAGCAACTACAAGAGTAACCCAAGTCTATGGGTCCATGGAAGGTCAAGATGTACTAAAAACTTGTAGATTTTGTTAATAACTCAAAGCGCATGAGGAAGAAGTAACATAATTTTCTATTAAACACCGGGTAATTATTATAATTTAAAGTTAACAAATCACATTCCAAATTATACAATAATATTGTTTCAAAACGACATAAGCAATTGAAGCATTGCAAATAAAAGAAGGAAGTTTACTTCAACAATAAAAAGCAAAAATACTGCAACACAAAATAAAATCCTGGAGAGCAGTGGCGTAGGAAGGTTTTTAAATGTTTTAAATAAGCTTTTAAACATTTAGCTTTTAAACAAAAATAATATTCCAAATTTTTCTACGTTCATATGTATGACGAAAAGATTCTTCACAAAAAAAAATTACTGTGATGGAGAATGGGAACTAGAAAAACCTAAAATCTTATCCCCCTCCCCCTTTTACCCTAAACATGAGGACAATGACCTTGTAAAGTTTGAGGCCTCATCAAACTGAGAGATTAAAAGTTAAAATTTTAACTTCTGCAACAAAAAACTAGATGTCTGCTACATAATCTTTTTTAATAAAATTTGTCACGCACGAAGATAATAATTTTTTCAACTTTTTCTGGAAATTTTATATATATATATATATATATATATATATATATATATATATATATATATATATATATATATATATATATATATATATACAATATGGTTAATATATATATATATATATATATACATATATATATATATATACATATATATATATACATATATATATATATATATATATATATATATATATATATATATATATATATATGTATATATATATATATATATATATATATATATATATATATATATATATATATATATATATATATATATATATATATATATATATATATATATATAAATATATATATATATATTGAGAGAGAGAGAGAAAGAGAGAGAAAGAGAGAGAGAGAGAGAGAAAAAGGAGCTAAAACTGCTCGGGAATTGTGGTTCTTCCAGTTTCTTTTCAGCAAAACGTCTTTTCAACTGACTGAGAATCTCATTCCTTTTTCCAACGTTTACACTCGCAGTACCCGCTACAATCATCTTTATACTCATTCATAAATTGCGATTCTCAAGAATAGCTGTAATACCTTTAAAAAAAGCTTTTCCGCCTGGTAAATCTAGTGCTTGTAACTTCTTTTTGTTTATTCTTTAACACTAACACTTGATATTTTTGGTGACTAATACGTTTATAAATAAAGTGCACTGTTGCGGGTTTTTTTTTTTATTATTTTTTTTTTTGATTTTGACGTTAGTTAAAAATTACAAAAAAAAAATTATAACAGCAGGAAATTCTGGCCGGAGCAAAAAGACTTTTTTATTTTTTGTTCGCACTGCAAAGCTATTGACCATCTTTTTTTTGAAACGTTAAAAACATTCAATTCAAAATTCAAAAACGTTAAATTCATTCATGTATTGTACTTTTTTTGTTTTACACATTTATCGTTCGTCTTCAGCACTTAATCCAGTTTTGTCTGTACAACTTGAATTCATAAATATGAAAATTTTAATTTTTTTTAAAACTTCTTTCTCAATTTTCTTTTAGCGTTCTCCTCTCCTTTTGATGTATTCTCTCAGGAACAGATGGATTCTCTCAGGAACAGATAGTGACCAACAAATGTGGATTTTGAGTGGTATCCTGTTGTTATCTTCCAGTGATTGTTCTTCTAGTGGAGCCTTTCTTCTTTTCCTATATGACTCAAAAAATTGTACGAGCAATATAAAAATTATTTACGGTAGCAACAATTTAATAGTTAAAATTGCTTCCATCGTATTTCAAGATTTTGATTGTAGTGTAAGTTCTAAATTACACTACAATGAAAATCTTTGGCGGGAAAATTGTTTTATATCAAAAAGTTAGTGTTATTATAGCAATAAAATCTTTAAATTATGACGATAGTCGTTGTCTATGCAAAGTTACATTTGTAAATTATAAAGTAATTAAATTTAATTAAATACAATATAATTTTACAGAGTAATAAATTTCTGGACACGACAAACACTTTAATAAAGTTTAAATTTGTGTAATAGCAAACTATATCAAATTCAAAATAAACTTTTTATCTAGAAATAGTTCTATTAACTACAAAGTTACATTTTTATAAATTTTCAAAGTAAAACAAAACGTCTCGGTTTCTTATGAGATAATAATGAATTAAGCGCTTGGTTGTAACATTCCATTATATGTTTCATGGGTTATATGTTAATAAAACTTATATCTTGATTTGAATTGTTGCAAGAGTTTTTTTTTTGTATTTTTTTTTTTCAAAAGCATGACATTTCATTTTCTTATAAATATTTGATTATTGCATTGATGTTCTCTTTTATAAATCTTAATTACCGGGATTCGATCTTCGATTTAAGGATCTTAGCAGAATTTTTTATAAAGAAAGCAGCGTACAACTTAATTGAATTTTTTTTCCATATTATGAAAAAACCAAAAATATTGCAACATGTTCCTAAAAAAACATAGTAGGCAATTTCGTAGCAGTTATTGAAATGAGATCAAAATGTCGGCATGTAGATAATTGCTACAAAATTGACGAGGCAATAACATACAGAAACAATAAACAATATTCAGAACAACGATGTTAAAAACACATTCCGAAAACATTTAACAGAGTTTGTAAGTACCTTCATTGTACTTACCAGTGTACCATATATACTTTTTTTTCAATTGTTAATTTATAACTCAGTTAATAAAATAATATACAGAAAAAATAAACTTTTAAAGCTGTATTTAAGGACGATTCTATAGGGGTGCATCAAGGACGATTCTATAGGGGTGCATCATAATAAAACAAACAATAAAAGTAAAACGATAATAATTAAAAATTGAATGATATAACTATTTACACTTCATATTTAAGTTCATCACTAAAATAACTCCTGGCGCTTTCGCTAATACACTTAATACAAATACGACTTTTGATATCTTTACCGCTTTTAAACGGATATTCACCATCAATGCATATTTTACCCAGATCAAGGTTTGCCACATGTACAAATCCTAAAAGAGAAGTATCCACTTTAAAAGTAGCTTCATTGTTATTGAGCGTGCTTACAACGTCAAACTTTTGTTCGATAGCAAACTCAACCACGCGCTTTGAAAGCTCAACAATGACTTGACAAGCAATATCTCTCGGCAAATCTAAATTTGCATGAAGAGTTGTAACGTCTAATACTTTAAATTTGGACAGTGGATAAATTTTATCTAACACTTTTTCGTACAATGAAATCATTTCATCAATTGCAGAAGAAAAACTTAAATCTAGAGGTGTGCTTAACGAGTGGCACAAAACTGCCCCAACCGGTTTTCCATACAACATTGCGTAAAATGAATAGCAAGGAAAGCTTGTTATAATTTTTTTCATAAAACAGCGAAATTTAATTTCAAAATTTGGATCCATCAAATACTTTGTAAGTACATCTCTTTCAAAAAATGCTTTAGCATGCTGCTCATAAAGTACACCTAAAACATCATTACTAGCTTCGGAGAAATTATAAACTTTGATTTCTTGATCTTTTATGGGTTGTTCATGATTGTTGCTTTGTGTTGTAAGTTTATCTATAATTTCGTTTATAGAGCGTGCTGCGCTCACGTTTTCAAATGTTACATCAAATCCAATTTTTCTCAGGTTCTCAATATAAACCCATACACTCACAGAGTCTCCACCCAATTCAAAAAAACTACAGTCTAGATCGATAGTTGAAATATCAGTATTTAAAGCCATTGCTGTAATAATTTCAAATTGGCTCTTAACTGGTTTCAGGGATATTTCTTCTATTGAAAAAACATTATTTCTGTTTGAGGGGATCAAAGATATTAGTTTTTGACGATCTATCTTATCGGATCCGTCAGTTTTTGGCATTGTATCTATAAATAGTACTCTTGGGATCATGAATGGTGCCATTTTACTACTTAGTGATTTAAGAACACATTTTATTGATGTTGCAGGCGGCGAGATGAAACAGTAAATTTCAGTTATTTCTTTTACAACTTGTGCTACAACTGCAACCAAATAACTAGGATAAAATGATTGAATTATTTTCTCAATTTCTGAAATATTCACTTTATTACCTCTTATTTTAAAAAAATCTTTGTTGCGACCTACTTTATAAAATCCATTTTCACGGCGAACAGCAAAATCGCCCGTTTTGTATACAGTTTTCAATTTTTCGTCTGCGCCGTAATAGAAAGGATTCTTTTCAAAATATTTCAGGTTTTCAACATCTTCAGCTAGATAACCAGGTGATACTACCGATCCAGCAACCCATAGCTCTCCTATTTCAAATAAATTATTAATTAAATTACCGCTTGAATCTACTAAGTAAACAACCGTATCAGGTAATACAATTTCACCAATGAAAGTTTCTTTTGAAGCATCAACAATACTTGATGGATCCATTTTACTATACATGACATTGCCACAAGTTTCGCTACTTCCATAAACATTCCAAAGTTTAACGTGTGGAAAACATTTAAAAAAGTCGATCACTAAAGAATGATGCAAATCTTCTCCGCTGCTCCATATTTCTCGAAGATACAACTGACTGTTGTAACTGTTATTTAACAACAAAAGTGACCTCAGTAAACTTACACTTGTATATAATCGTGTAACTTTGTATTTACTCAAAAAATCTAAGAAAAGTTTTGAATTTTTAACTTGATCCGGTGTAAGAAACAAACACGACTCTTTCATGCACATTGCGGATAAAGTTTCTGTAAAGTAATCAATAAATATGAAGTTTGTCTTTGAACACATCATCTCATTTAATTCGTAAACGAAGTCAGATCTAAACCATTCAACTGTTTGAATCATATTTTCATGAGTTAATTTTACTGCTTTAGGATTTCCCGTACTCCCACTCGTAAAAAGGACACAAAACAAGCTATTTTTCATAATTGAACAAGTATAATCATTAGTTAAACCTTCTACTGGTACCAGTAATGTTTTAATATTTACGATATTTAAATCTTTTAAATTAGCATGAAACTCATTGTCTAAGTTATTTTTAGTAATCAAAATATTGGCTTTAATTTGCAACATACAAAACAACATCTTTTCCGTGATAGGTTCTTCCAATGGACAGAATGGTATTCCAAGTTTGCTCAATGCAAGTATTGCCGCTATGCGATTGCATCCATTTGGAATGAGCAAAGCTACAATCTCATTTGGTTTAACTTTAAACAGCTTGTGAAAGTTTTGTGATATATTTTGAACCATTAAATCTAATGTCCGATATGTGACAATTTCTTCATTAGGGTTAATAAGCGTTTTTTCGGAATTAGCTTCAATTCGGTTGTAGTAAGAAAAGAAATCATTTTCTTTTGTATAGTTTGTTATTCTACCATAAGTTACACCAGAATCCATTTTTTATATCTAAAAAATATATTTTAGAAACTGCCAACATTGTATAAATTGTTAACAAAGCTTAAACTATGATAAAAATAAAAATAAATAACAGGAATAATTAAATTTAATGTCAGGTAATATCTTAACAATACAAAGTGGTACTCATTCTCCTTTTATAATAAAAGGAAAAATAATAAAAACTCATTCTCGTTTTATAATAACAATTTTGGACTGAGGATAAGCATTTTAGAAAAACATATGTAATGATATGCGCTTTAAGCTTCGCCATATAAGATCCTCAAATGGTATAGTGGTTTACAACCTACTTATAATTTAGCAATTGTGACGAAGTTCTTTTAAAACCAAAAAAGCTTTTACTATAAGTGCTTGTTTTTTTGAAAATAAAGTATCTTTTAAGCAGAATTTTTATGAATAAAAAAAGGTGCAAGTTTGAAAAATGACACGTCTAAATAGTTTAAGTGCGTTTTGTTAATTCGCTAGGTTAGAACTATCTTGTTCCTATCTCCACAAGGTATGAACTACCTTGTTCCTATCTTCACATTTTAGATTTTTGAGATAAAGCTATTTAAAAAACAAAAAACTTAGATAGAACAAAATAATTTTAACCGCGCAAATTAACATGCAATACTTTACAAGTTTACGTTGTTTTATTTTATTTTTAATTAAGGTTACAAAAATAACTTTAAAGTAACTTTTTGATGTTGTATACATTTTTTATTGTTTTACTGTAGCAACTTTTTGTTGTGGTACTGTAGAAAATTCTTGTTGTTGTTGTAGAAGTTAAAAAAATAGATAATAGTTATCTAATTATTATATTTAGTCGCCTAATCTTAGAAAATTAAAACTAAAATCCGCTTTTGGATATAAATAGTTATGTATGGCTATGGTATTTATATCACTTATCACTTTTATTTATACTAATACCACTTAAGTATTAACGCCTAAGCAGAAATGCGAATTAAAGACATCGGTAATACAAAATTAATCATATTTATTGCTAATCAATTAGTTTAACTATTCAGTCACAAACCCTCAAAAGCAATTTTTATAAATCTTATTATGAAATAAAAATTTATGGCAAAAATAAAACCATTGGTGTACGGTATTACCCTTCGTACGTGGGTTAATACCGTAATCACAAACACTTTTGTGTAACAACGAATAAAATGCTAATTGTAATAACTAAGTACAAAAATTATACTATGGAACAACTACAAAAATAAGGAGTGGTTTTATATCAAGAGAAGTTACAACAGAATTTTACTCAAGAAAAAAGTTGCATAAAATTATCAGAACAACATCCGCAGTTTCATTACACTACTGCACGTCTAGAACTGAGCATGGGATTCTCTCTCAGCAGGTAAAAAGAAATTATCAAATTTATTTTTCCATAATGCTGTTTTGACCTTGTTTGGAGTTACCCCGCGTTCACCATTACCCCACTCTCCCCTAAATACCATAACCATACATTGCCCGCATGCCGTCCCATAAATCGAGTATCACATGTTGCGCACATCAGATTTTCTTGTAAAGTAGTCCTAGTAGCCACATCTAGAATCAAACAGGATTATGTTATTTATACGCATTAATGCATATTTAATATCAGATGTGCAAATTAGATTTTTCTTGTTTTTCTTTTTTGTACTTGATTTTAATTGCGAAAAAAAAAAATCCTTACCGTCTTTTTTATAAAAAATTAACCAATCTAGTTTTTTCCTTGTTCACACTCTCTTGTTCATCCACTTACCGAGGAACCTCAACAAACCAACTATTAGCAAAAAGAGTCTACAAGTTATAATTAATAAAAAAAACTCCACCGAAATTATTCTTACGATTATTTGTTAAACTATTGTATATTATATATTTACAACGTTAGATATTATAATAAGTATTATTTAGCTAAGAAAACAAAACAAAAAAAAAACATTTTATGTTTTATCAAAGTTTCTCTTAATATAATTAATAAGAACTTTCAAATGATTTTTAAATTCAGTCTGGTTCTTACAGTCATATACAAAATATTTGTTCTGCAAATAGTTAAATGATGAAATCTTGAACTTTTTCAAAATGTAACCAAAGCCATAAATATAGAGCAACTGAAAATTAAATTTTATTATTTTAAAAACATTTTGATCTGCATAGAGCTTTAAGTTATTATTAAATGGAAGCAGACATAATAAAATATATATATTTTTAAAAAAATAACATCATGTGATTTCTGAAAAAAAATAACATCATGTGATTATAGAAAAAGGTAACATCATGTGATTATTGAAAAAGATTACTATATATTATGATTGCAACAAGAGTAACAACTGATGCAATAAAATAATATTACGTAACTGTTAAGCTTATTAGTCCCGATTATGTGTAACTTTTTAGAAGTTTTGTTTTTCTATTTTTATTTTTTGTCTTTTATTTGATAAGGGTGCTATTTGTTAAATACTTTATTTTAATGTCTACCGACAGCTTCTTTTTTAGAAATTAACATAGTGTAGTTTTGTTTTTAGTAAACTACAAAGTTTGTTTAAAAAGCCTTTTTTTCTTGAAATTGGGCAAGGGATAAGACAAAGTGGAGTCACCAGGCCTAATGCTTGTCTAAACCAGAAGGACCAAAAATATTTTAAATAATATTGTATAAAAAATTTATTTTAGGCATGTATAAAGAATTTACAATGAATAAATAGTTACTAGACTAGAATAAATAGTTATAGACTATTATAAAGAGTTAATTAATTATAATTGCAGTAAATTTTATTCAACATGAATGCAAAGACTTTATAAAAATAATTTTGTACTATTTTAGTTTATTTTATTTTAAAAATATATTTGTAAATCTCAATAAAATTTTTACTTATAGCGCTCTTTTGATTTTATTGTAAATAAGATTTTTTTATATATAGCAAATTTTATAGCGAAAATTCAGTATTTGCTATATATAACAATCTAAGTTACAATAAAATGTTTACAACTTTGCTTAGTGCTATTGCTAGTGCATATCCAGCAACCAAGTATTATAATTCCTCTTTAGTTTAGTTCATCGGTCACGTTGTGGAACATTGCGGCCAAACGTGGTTAGCGTAGTTTCAACATATGATACAGTGGCTAGCCATTATATTATATGTTGGAAAGTTGTCGGCTGGCAACTTTTGGAGATAACACTGATGGTCCACTATTAACTAATGAGCAAAACTGCAATAACCGCTCTTTTCTGGGTATAAACAAGTAATAGGGCATTGGTAAAAAGCGGAATGCGAAAATTTTTAACGAGTAAAGTGTGGGAAAAGAGTATTTTAACAGAAATTAAAAAAATATCCATATCAAAATCATTTGGATTGTTAAATTAGATTTTTCATCAATCCTTGAAGCCGAAGTTTTTTTGCATGTGACATCATTTTGTGACAAAAAACTAGAAAAACGCAAACTAGAAATACGACTTTAATTTTTTTAGAAAAATTCCCTCTTTTAATCAATATTGAATATGTTTTGATAGAATATATTCTAATAAAAACTAAATGATGTGAATTAGGGGAAAGCGGGGCAACATGGCGAACGTTTTGAAAACCCTGAGTTATTGAAAAACTATCGAAAAAAGTTATGAAAAAAAAGTCGTGAAGCCATAATACTTTCTCAGTGTGTTTATGCTATTAAGTTCTTTAATTGCCTGCATGAATTTTCAGTTTGCAAAGATAACAATTTGAAATAAATATTAAAATACAAAGTTCATAAATTTATCATCTGGTCACGTGACCGGGGCAAGATGACTTATTATGCCATTTTTACCTCCAATTTTATAAAATTTTAAAAACTGCCAATAACACTAATTAAAGTAACAAAAAATAAACACAAATTGCAAAAACTACTTCACCAACCATTATGAGAAACCGAAAGTGAGGAATTTTTTTTTAAGCGCAAAAAGTAAACTTAATTTGTATAAAATGGCGTTAATAATATTTCAAAAAACCAATTGGTGTTTTAAAATACAAGATGCAAATACAGTTTCGTTTTCACCCAATTTTAAAATTTTTTGTTGAGTTGTTGTATGAAAACCCACCTTGCCCCATTCGCCATGTTGCCCCGCTTTCCCCTACTACATTAAAAAGGTCTTAGGTTAAAGCTTGGATATTGAGATTGGTTTATACTTTTCCAAGTTTATACTTTTCCAGATTTTCTAGGTTCTGTTAATGCATTTCGCTTGGTTTATTCAAACAAACTTGGTAGTAGTACTACTACAAGTACTGAAATAAAAATTTCTTTTTTGAGTAAAAATTCTTTCTTTCCAAATAAATCCTTACCTGACAACCACAAAGAAGAACTAAATGGTGAATTCTTTTTCCAGTCATTCCATCCCATGGCCTATGTTGATCAAAATGTTTACAAACCCATATTTACATAGAACTTGTTAATGCTGGCTTAACTGATTAATTCTATTTTGAATTTTGTCACCAACAAATTAATTATTAAAATAATATTAAGATTTCAATAATTTTTTTTGTAATAAATTTTCTATAAAAATATTTTTGTAAATTGTTTCATAATTCCTTTTGAGGTCTAACATTAGTGTAATTACAAACTATTCTTTTATCATTTTATTGCGTATACAAACTGTTCAAAGATGTCCAATATTTTATTGTGTATACAAACTGTTTAAAGATGTTCTTTATTTAGTTTGGAAGATTTAAATGGCTGCGGTTACGCACAAAAATGTGTGTGACCTATTTTGTATATATTAAAGCCAAATTGGTTGTTTAAAAAATATATAAAAGATTTATTTTGTTGTTGCTAATATTATTTTCTCCACTTGATTTTATAAATATCATATTTTATAACATTTATAAATATTATTTAACAAAATTTGAATGTTAATTTAAAACAATACTTGTCATCTAACTTTGTTGTTTTTTCGTTTTGTGACATCTAGATTTCGCTTACAAGCGCGAAAGGTCGATAAAACTGTGACTATGATGACGCAAGTAAGCTATTTCTTTTGTTGTTTAGTTATGTATGGTTGACATACAAGTGGGTTTGTTTGATTTTGGTCAATCTAGGCAAAGAAATAAAACGAATGGAAAAAGAACTCACCAATCAATCCTTCTCTGTGGTTGCTAGGTATGGTTTACTTGAATAAATAATGAAAATAAATAATTCAACGTGATAAAATAAACGAATCCCTTAATACTACTGTATAATTGTATAACCTCACTTGATAACTGCATATGTGCTAAACTAAATTAACAATTTAAATTAGTAATTTAAATTAAATATATATTAGAAAATTATAAGCGAAACTTCAATTTCTTATAAAAAATGAAAGATTATCTTAGGATAAGCGCAGTGGAATATACATACACTGAGTGAGGATTAATGGATTGGGCAGGTATTTCATTTACAACTGTTAAGCTGCTTTATAAGCTACTGCAACGAATAAAAATTTTTCCAACAACTTTTATTTGATCTTACAAAAAGAATAATGAAACACTTGAAATAAGTATAAAAACCTGAAATAATTTTGTGGGATTTTTATGTATTGCTTAATTGTTTAAAAAAAACTAAACATGGTTTAAGACAAGCTTTCAGCATTCACAGTTGCGATATAATAAAAAAAAAGGCACTTAACTGTTTACTGTTAATTTTTTAAGTTATTTTTAAAGAAGTACTTGTTACCCCCTCAATTAAAAAGAAAAAAATTTAACTCAAAATATCTTTGATCAATTTTTAAGCTAAATTTTCTCGTCTGACTTTCCGATTTAAAAAAAAAAGTCAAACTAATGACTGTACAACAGTTCGCGAGGGTAGAATTATTTTGTTGCATCTCCACTTTTTAAAAAGTTTGAGTTATTGATTTTGTTATGTTTCTTTTTTTGAATCGCTTTATCTCAAAACTCTAAAATGTGGAGATAGAACAAGATAATTCTAGCCTTGTTGTCAACGCAACGCCCAAGAGAGTAACAATAGTTATAAAATAGCTGCAGTGAGACCGAAGTAAAAATACGTCATTTTTCAAAGAACAGTCATGGTAGTAACATAATTTTCAAGTAAATACTGTGTAAATATCAAAAGTTAACCAATCACATTCAACTTTTTAAATAAATTATGAATTTTTTTTTTAATTTTGTTTTTGATATTGTTTTTATATTGATTTTGACATTGTTTCAAAGCGTCATAAGCAATCAAAGCATTGCTAATAAAAGATAGAAGTTTAGAAAAGTTCGTAAACAATATTTAGAGTTAGTTTATTGTGATTTTTTTATTTTGTGTTTCTTAAACAATTAATAATAATTTTATAGATTCGAATTGAATTAATATCTAGATAAGAATTGATAGTATTTTTGCCGGATTTACAAAAGGGTACTTTTACAATTAGCTTTTTGATGTAGCAAAAATACTACAACACAAAATAAAATCCTTGTAAGATAGCTAAACTGGAAAGCAAAAGATAAGATTCAAACAAGTAGTAGAGATTGTCTAAATTTTTTATATTTATACTTAGTATCGAGGTGTTCAAAAAACGATTACTTTACGTAGATCTTGATTTATATTTATTATTTTTTGATAGTTCGAACAATTGTTAAAAACTTATCCAGTCAACTTTAATGATAGCAATCCACCTTAAACACAGCTTTCAAAAAAAAAAACTATAATTCAAAATTTTAAAAATTTTGTACCACAGTTTTGAAGAATTTTCAGCTCCGTTCTCCCTCCAGCTGGTCCATTGCGAATCTACAGCTACCTCTTTGTGGTCCACAGGTACCTGCTTGTGGTCCACAGGTACCTCCTTGTGGTCCACAGGTACCTCCTTGTGGTCCATTTTACCTCCTTGAGATAAAGTAAGTACTAGAAGTACATGTATTACTTTAACCGTTGTCAAAACACGTTTTTTATTCTTTATTATTCCTACCAAAATTTAGAAGTGGTTTTAATTCAACTACATAATATAAAAAACTGTTTTAATAAAACAACATCGCGATGTTATGTACGTAAAGTTTATGACCATCATTGATATATATATATATATATATATATATATATATATATATATATATATATATAATATATATATATATATATATATATATATATATATATATATATATATATATATATATATATATATATATATATATATATATATATATATATATATATATATATATATATATATATCACAGAGGCGGATCCAGTATTTTTTTTTATGTGTTTGAAATGACTTCTAAACATGAAGCAAATTTCAAACATTTAGATGTTCATACTTAAGTCAAATAAAGATACTTTGCGAAAAATTGCAATGATTAGATTCTAGGAACAAAAAGTTTAGTCACACAGAAAATATTTGGAAGTGGCCACGTGGAGTGTGTAGGAAAAGGCTCTCAATGGTTCTTAACTCTATTGTTTTTAAATAATGGGTTTGTTTAAGATGTAGTGATACAATATACAAGGTTCTCTTAAGATTGTGGATTTGAGCGTTGAGGTTTACTGTTTAAATACAAAGAAATCAAAAAAGAGCTTAAAATAAATAGTGAATTCTACACTATTTATTCCAATCTTTGTTTGAAAATTTACTAACACACTCTACCTTTCCTCCACTGGAGAAAGATTTTCTGCAAAATTCAGGTTTACATTTACTATTTACAGCTGCTTTTCCTAATCCGTGTCTAAGATCTTCGCCGCTTTTCTACACTTTTAGAGTCTCACCATACATCCATCTTATCAACATTTTATATAGATACATATAGTCGTGATATATATATATATATATATATATATATATATATATATATATATATATATATATATATATATATATATATATATAGAGAGAGAGAGAGAGAGAGAGAGGAGAGAGAGAGAGAGAGAGATTAAAGGAAGGGGGAATGGAGAAACCTGTTTGTTTTTTCACTAACAAATAAAAAACGACGTAAAAAGAAGTCATTTTTTAGTGACATTTGCTGGTTGCAAAAAAGGTTCAAACTTGGTGACTAATTTTTATATAGGCCCTATACCCCCTCCTTTAATCAATTAAAAAACAAGAATTTTCGTGGATAAAAAATTTTCTTGGCTTTCCCACATTAAGTACATCAAATCAACAAAAACAAAAAATAGTTGGCATGATATTTCAAATTAGTTCTCTCATAAATACTCAAAGCATTAAATTAATATACTTCAGCAAAATTCATAGCTACATTAATTATCGAAACTGCGTGGGCTGGCACATCACCCGCTAATCTTAAATAGATATGTAATGTGCAAAAACACACAAGCAGAATCTTTTATTTTAAATTGAGTGTACAATAAGTTTTCAAAACAAGATCTAAACATTGATATTTATTGCATCATGCTCTTTGTTTTACAAAAAAGACATCAGTAGTTTTATGTACGCAGGGTTTAACGAAGAGAAGTAAATACGGCTGCAGTAGTATTATGTCATTTACAAATTAGTTACACATACAAATTATGTACACATGCATATTAAGTAATTGTTTTATTCAAAAAAATTTTAGCCTTTTTTTTTTTTTACATGCAAATGTAAAAAATAAAGGTTAAAACAAGATGCTTAAACAAGATATTTTAACGTTTTCTGTTTCAAAAATATTGTTTATTCCCCTTTATTATTATTTTTTATTGGTTTCAAAACCAAGGAAAAAGGTAAATACAAAACGTATGCAACCAAGAAATGTAAAGACAAAACACATAATAAGCTAAGACGATGTTTTGCAATATAAAAATTTTATTGTCAAAAAATATTTACATAATATGTCATTTAAACACAGCCTAAATCTTATCACAAAATTTATCTCCTGAAGTATTTGTCTTAGTAAAAACAGCATAAAAAATGACTATTTTTATGGTTTTATCAACAAATAATAAAATTTAATGTTATTTAATGTTATAGAATTATCGTGCTTTTTAATAAAAAAAAAATTATACCATAAAATAATGTTGCGTGAATACTATGGTGCACTATGCGTCACTAAGCGAAAATAGGATTTTACATACATTTCTTAAAGATTTTTCTAATTTTAACTTTTTAAATATTTTTTTACTGAATTAGGTCAGTTGTTCTTAATTAAAAGAAGAGAATTAAAATTTTTTCATTGTCTCTTTTTTAAGAAAGGGAATTTTAGGTTTAAAAAATACATGTTTTTGATAAATTTTTAAATAGATTATGATAAAAATCAAACTTTTTTCATTATATTTTTATTTTAATGAATTATTAAGTTAATTAAAAATCAAAAAAAGTCAAATAAAGTTTTTTCATAATAGTTTTTTCTTGTTTAATTCAGTCCGCAAAGATTAATGGATCAAACCATTTTACAAAAATGGTAGCCAGTTTTTTATTCGATACAAATTTAATTCAACAAATTGAATTTTTATTAAAAAAAAAAATATATATATATATATATATATATATATATATATATATATATATATATATATATATATATATATTTATATATATATATATATATATATATATATATATATATATATATATATATATATATAATATATATATATATATATATATTCTGGTTACCTCTGTAAGATACTCAGTAAGATACTT